ATTAAAATCTTGCGAAATAATATACTTATATTATTTTTATATTGTTTGTACTTATATTATTTTTATATTGTGTGTAATAGTTATGTTGTAATCATTGGTAGAGAGAGAAGAAAGAGAAAAACAGATTTTAGAATGAAAAACGTTTATTTGAAACGTAAATGTCGACATAGATAAAATAATACAAAACATTCAGTCCTGAGTAAAGAATCTTTTTATCCTATCTTTCTTATTGTTGCAACACTTTCACACACTTATTCTGCGCGATTACATCTTCATATGTTACATCATATACATACATACATATATGACCCGCGCGATGATAGTGAATATAATTTTGTTCCTTTCGATTCTCTTGTATTTTCGTCCATCGATAGCACCTAATCGTATAGACACGCTTGGGAGTATCTACAAGGCACTAGAGATGAATCGCACAGACTTATAATATCTTTAGTATCTAGATGAGATTTTCGCGCGCGCGCGTGCGTGTAGTGTGTGTGTGTGTGTGTGTGTGTGTGTGTGTGTGCGTATGCCATGTTTTTCGTGATCTCTTTCTTTTTTCTAGTCATTGTTTCGCTCTTTGTCTTCATATTTAATATCAGATTTTTCGATTTTTGAAAATTAGTCAGTCTTTGTCAGTTGTGGAAGATTTCATCAACGTACATTCTCATTATTTGTTTTTCTTTGATAAATAATAATATTATAATTACACGATGTATTAATTATATACTAATATATGATCTGATTAATCTCTTGCTGTACAATTTGTTATCGCGAAAAGAAATAACATATGATAACTAATATTAACGGTCAATCACTTTATATTGTAATTTAATACAAGTTTTCAATAGATTTAAGAGGAAGTATTCTGAGAATATACGTATATCTGAGAACAAAGAGAATTTCAGTTAAACTTGAGATTAAATTAAATAATGTAAATAAATTTCAAATATATGTAGATAAATAATATGTAAATGGAAAAATAAAGATAAAATAATATGTAAATGGAAAAATAAAGATAAAAAAAATAAATTTAAAATATTATTTGTGAGATAAGCCTTCTTTTTACATATTCAGTAACACATAATTTGAATTTTCTTAAAAAGTGAAATGGACAACCCATTTCCTTCGATTGTGATTGAAATCAGCTTTGTTCATTAACATGAAAGCTATAAGTGTTTGGGAAATTGTAGTGTATCGATGGTGGTATATATATCGCTTACTATTTTCCAAAGATATCCGTCAATGATAATTCTTATAATATCTATATATTTTCTACGTAAATAATACTGATTCTTGAATATCGATTTTAATACATTAGTAAAGGATTTTTTTACTTGCGCAACTGATGATTCGCTGCATAAACAATATTTTTACGCTAGTCAGTATACTTTATATATATAGAATGATCATAAGGACAATTATATTATCGTAGTACGAGTTATTAAAGGTAATATCTTTTTGGACCTGAAATAATTTGAACACACTAATTTTCCGCGCTAGTATAATTGACTTTTATCGCGCGATTAACAAATCACGGCTCTAGTATATAAAAGTACGTTATCATCATGATTGATGGTGAATAAATTGAATAAAGGAATAAGAGAAATACAAACGAGAAATAATTATGTATCATTTGCTTCGGCTTTTTCTTTTACATTGCATTCATAATACTTATTGCACGATTTTACAGCTTTGGAAATTTTGAATGCATTTAAAAATCGTTCTCCAGCGTGTCACATAGTTTAATGTTTTTTTGCAATATTATTATTATTGTTGTTATTTTTATTATTACATCATAATTTCTCGTTTCTTATTAAAGATTTATTTCTAAATTAAATTCAAATTATCTGGAGTCGAAATTACAATAAAGATAATGGTGGCATGTAAGTATGTAGTTAATAAAATCTTACATAAGTTTATTGATAAATGACAATATGAATTAATGTACATTAAACTTATCAGTCTGCACGTTTGTACATCCCAACATTCTTCAAGCGCTTGTAATTAAACAATTAAAGAATATTAGTCAGACTAGAGAAAAGTGTTGAATGACTGTAATTTTACATACGTGTGCATATATCGTGACAAGTATTTTGGCTTTAATAAACAGTCTACATATGGCAAAGTTTTTAATTAAAAAGATGTTGTAAAGAGAATATTAGAAATTATTATACAAATACACAAAATTATCTTACTTCTTGCATATCTCAATTTAGAAGTAATAATATAATGAAAGATAATAAGATTGAACATTTGTATATATATATATATATATATATATATAT